GGGGGGGGGGGGGGGGGCCCGGACCCCCCTCTGTGCTAGGGGCCCGGGCCAGAAAACTGATACCAGGGCCCGAGATGGGATGTGGCGGGCCTGTGAAAAAGTATCAAGGCCCCCGTCCCCCCAAAGTTTAAGGGTCTCCGTTGGTCCCAAATGTCTACATATATTCTATCGCACCAAATCTTCGATGGTGAAAGTACCAAACCACATATCTCAGTTCCAAATCTCCTGACACTTTTTACGTTCTTAAAGAAGGCCTGGTCATCGTTTTGCACAAAAATTTCATAGGACTTTTTTCCCTGTCATCAACATCTATTTTCTGAAAATTTCTCACAGAAATTTTCAGCATTATATACTCTCTGAAAAAATGAAGTTTGGATGTAAATGCTCAAACGCTGCGCCGCAATGGAGATCCATGGTTTGGTAAATTCACCATCGACATGAAACGAAATTTTGTCGTTCTGCAGACCATTCTTACCTACCCATTGTCTACTAATAATGTTCGCATGGAAGTAAGTGAAATAGTCGGTGAAATATTAACCTAGATTGAAGGCAATTATAGGCAACCCTGCAAACAGGAATGCGAGGTAGCAGGTAGCCTGCCTAACCGTTTTATTGCATTGTGCGTCTGCTGTTGGTAAATGAAAGCGCTCGCCGGTTGCCATGGATACAGGGTGCGATATCAAGAGGCACGCGGTCGCGTTTTTTTGGATTCTCTATTGTGAAAAGTGACAAGCGATATTTGATACGCACTCGTCTGTAAGGAGAACCACCGCTCCGCGCTGTCTTGGAGAGCAAGAGCGCGAGGTGGGTGGATGTGAAAGCAGTTTAACAAACGCACACCGGAGCTACCAGTCCGACTCTGTATTGAGGCAATTGTGTTACACCCCCTCATCCCTTCCGCCTTGCCCTGCGAGTCGACGGAAAATCTTTTTTTTAACACAAGCTTGAGAAAAAAGAGGGAGCCGTTGAAGAGACTTTGTTACCGCTCCTCTCGTGATACGAGATCGGAAGAAAAGGTCAACAATTTCGAACAATTGGACTAATTTTTGCAACAAGCGAGAAACAACACTAAATAATGGCCCATAAGGTGGAGAAATGGTGCTGAGTCCACACCATTTCACGGGGAAATCAAAGCCAAGAAATTCCAAAAATTACTGTCAGAGCAGTAAGTGCATTTAGTTTCAGTATAAAGATACATGCTTTTACAAATGAGTTGGAAATTGTAGTTCCTTATTACGAAAATTACAATTAGAGTCAAAACATTTTAACTCTAATGAGTACCAGTACAAAGCTGAGGGGGAGACCTGAGTTGAACACTCTCTCCCCTCAGTTTTGTACAGGTGCTAATTAGAGTTAAAAAAATTTGACTCTAATTGTAATTTTTGTAATAAGGAACTACAATTTCTGACTCATTTGTAAAAGTGTTTATCTTTATATTGAAACTAAATGCACTTACGTCGTTTCTACAGTGAGCTGGAAATTGTTGTTCCTAATGGCAAAATGAAGTTCAATCTGAATACTTCTACGCTGGGTCGGGCCAAGGTGTGAGTGAATCGTGGGAGATTCTCTTGCCGACCCCTATTCTGCCGTGCTAAGGAAAAACGCCGTATGAGCCTTCAGGCGTTGCCAAATTTTCTCTGGCAGATCACTAATTTTCAGGAAATTTTTTGAATATTTTCCCGCCAACTTCTCAGAAAATTTTATTTGTAATTTGGTCTAAAGTGTCTGAAAATTCCAAGGAAAAATATTCATAATTTTCCTCAAAAATAAACATTTTATTCAAGAAAATTTGGCAACTCTCGAATTTTCATACGGCGTTATTCCTTAGCACGGCAGTATTAGACAGGTCATTTTCGGTGTAACTAACTGGAACAGCCTGATCGCGAGATAAGTGCATGGATCTGCATGTACTTTGACTTCGAGGAGCTCATCACTTAGCGTGGATCAGTGTGGATCACCCCCGTCGATCATCACGGACATCGCGGGTGAGACTTCCGGAGCCATCCATAACTCAACGCTCCATCGGTCGAGCCATCGCTGACGTCATCGAGGACTCGGCGCTCTGGCATGGCGGTGCGGCGCCCGATTATTCGTGCACCCGGGGGTTTTGGCTCCATTCCATTCAGCTCCCCAAACCTCCCCCCGCCCCCAGCTTTCTCTCGCCTCACTCGTTGCACTACTCCGAGGTTATTTTTCAATTCAGGTTCAAGGCGATGACACTGCCCCTGCCCCCGGCGCGGACGCTGCACTCATTATCCTGAAAAAGCGTCGAGTCACCGCGGAAGGTCGCATTTTGTGGTCCGCGATATGAACCGCCATGAAGATACGGACACTACATTACAGAAGCTTCGCATAATTACTGGAGGGTTGTAGATAATATATCCTGCGATGGAGACCACTTTTCGCTTAATTTGACCGCGTTTAGCAGATAGGAACCATGCCGCATCAGCTTTTGCCAACTTTCACTGAGCATTTTAATTTTTTGCAAGAGAACTTTTATAGCTGATGTGGCTTGATTCCTTCCTGCTTAACGCGGTCCAATTATAAGTGAGCCACATGTCGAAGGATTTTCCTTGCAAGTTTTCCAATTCATAAGTCTGGTTCACCCGCTGAAAATGACAGCTGAAGATACATCGAGAGAAATTCGGATGTCGAATTAAATAACTATTGCTCGATAGAAAAATGTGCGCCCCTGCAGTTGAATTAACATCTTTAGGACGTGAAATTTACTGCAGGAGCAAATGTTTTTAGGTCGTACATCTTTAGGACGTGAAATTTACAGCAGGAGCAAATGTTTTTAGGTCGTTACACACATTTTTAATAACCAGAATGTTATTCAATATCCTAATTTGTATCGTCGTGTACAGGTAGATCAGTGCGTTTTTGCATAGCTTTCTAAGATTTTCAGTTCCCATTTTCAGCGAATAAATTATTTTCTAGGCACTAGCCGTTCCTCC